TTTTGGTTGTTTTGTTTTTGTGCCTTTATTTTAATCACTACCCGCTGTTATCCGTAACCTATTACTCATCATTCCCTTTGCACTGATGCCTCGCTTCCTTCCTGCCCTGCAGCGCTGTATAGCCCTTGTGGCTTAGCGCTTCTTTTTGATTATAATAATAATGCATTTGCTAGGGTTGAATTCAAATCACCACTTATCTAACCAACCCTGAAGTTTATTCAAATCCATATGCAGCCTTTTCCTTGTCCTTTTCTCATTTGTTTGAAGGATTATTATTACTAAATCTCTCATTTTCAATGATTAGGAGGTTAATTTATAAAAAAATAAACATTGGTTCCAGTAATCATTTTGCACTTTAGATAAAAACCAAGTCCTTAACATTCACAACTTATAAAGATTAAATAACTAAAAAAAGTAAAAAGACAATTGCAATTTAACATTACTATACATTAACCCTTTGACTGTTTTGGTCGTATATATACGTCTTACGAGCCAATGTTTTTGACGTATTAATACGCATAAATTTTAGCGGCTTCAAATCAAGCAGGAGAAAGCTGGTAGGCCTACATGTGAGAATGGGTGTGCGCAGTATGAAAAAAATTGGTGACTCAGTGGTGCACCGTGGGAAAGCCATTTTAGTAGTCCTTGTTCACAATGCCTTGTGGTAAGAGAACTACTTACTCCTCGCCGAACTGGAGGTCTTCTGTTCACAAGTGATAGTTCTAACACTGATGGAAGTGACAGTGAAAGTGAATTCCATGGTTTTCAGAGGGTGTGACCGAAAACAGTGCCAAGGATAATGTAATTAGTGATGAAAACCCAGATGACCCACAACCTTCCATCTCATTCACATTCACCTGTACAGGGACGAAAGAGGAAACTATTTCCCAGTGTACAGGACTCAGATGTGAGCAGTGATAGTGATTTGTTGAAAGTTCAAGTTGTGACAGCGAGGGGAAAATTCTCCAGTGAAGTGGCAGTATGTACGACGCAGCATGAGTTCTGGTAGTGTGCCATGTGCCATTCCAAGGAGGAGTAAATCTCGGAGTACATCCCGTGGCCCTACACCACGAACTGATAGTGAAGATATTGTTACAGTGGGGATGCGTAATGTGTGGGGCAGAAGTGGTGTTGGCGGTGGCATAAGTCATGTGGCACCAGAACCGGGCCACACTGTTAACTCAGCACACCTGCAAACCAGCCCCAACCACCCCCACACTCCCACAACCATAATTTCCACAAACACAACTACCTTTCAATATCCAGTATCCACCAGCAGACTGCATCTGGAATGGCAGCAAGGCACCAGTTTTGTTCCCAATCCCCATGACTTTGATGAAACAAAGTGGAATACGGCCATTGTGTACACTTGGAACAATGCCACTGAACTGGAATGCTTTCAGTTATTCTTGATGAACCCCTGATGGAAATTATTGTCAGGGAAAGCAACACATACTACGAGTACACCATAGCAAACACAGTTCTTTCACTAAGGTCACGGCTACACCAGTGAAGGACACAACTGTGGTAGAGATATACCTGTTCTTTGCCACAATAATACTTATGCCCCTGTTCAAGGGGGGCACCTTGGCGTGAAGAGCTCTTGGTCTGAGAATTAGACCTGTCGGTCTTCTACCTCAGACCGAACCTTATTACCCCCTAATCCCCCCTTCCCTGTCCCATCCTCCCCTTTTTCCTTTCCTCCTCCCCACCCCTCCCTTTTGCCCTTCCTTTTTGGCCTTTATGAGTTTTCCCACAGGCACGCTAGTTCCTAGGTAGGGGAAAGGGTACCAGGTCCATCCCATTCCATTGAGGTTCTTGGCGTTGAGTAGTTTGCCGTGGAATCTGGATCGCCTGGGGATGTCCCGATCCCTCTCCTGTATCCCGGAGGGTGGCTTTGGGTGTCTTTCGGGCGACGGGTGCATCTCTGGAAGCACCTTTCAGATTCCGGGGGTGGTGGCTGAAGGAGGTATGCTTTGTGGCAGATATCCAGCTGCCCTCTCTCTTGTCCACCAAGGTAGCTCGCAGATGTGAGGTTGCTATCCCGGATTGCTGGTTTACTTGCATGAAGGGTATGGTATGGCACGGGTTCCATGCTGCATCTGCGGTGCTGAGGTCCTCTTGGGCATGGAGGGAGATTTCTGGCCCTTTCATTCCTCCTAGGAACTATCCCTCCCGGTCATCCCTTTTTTTTATTCTTTTTTCTTTTTTTTTTAAAAAAGAAAGTACCTAACCATGGAGTCCCCCAATCCATGACCCCACAACCCCCAGGCCCTTATTGTTACCGCACCCCGTTCTGACTTGCCTCGTCTTTTGGCCACTCCTAAGACCCCTGTGCCTCATGCTGGTGCTATTTTCGTCACCCCGCTTCAGGTCCGGGTTTAGACTGACTCCTTCGATTTGTCTGACCTCCGCTCATCCTTTGACTATGCTTCCGGCCTTTCCCTCTACGGTGCGGCAATTTTCGAATCGCCAGCCCGCCCCACGTCGGACCAACTCTGGTCCCACTTCTAAACACCAACGACAATCTCCTGATGACGTTACTTCGTTACCTTCTCATTCTACTTGGAAAAGACCAACACGTCATGCACTCCCTCTCCACGCTGTTTCAGACCACACAATGGTCTAAATCTTTACTTTAAGACTGACTTCTTCTACTGCCTATCTTTCCGACCATAGTATTGGCAAAGCGCTCCTACGCCATGTTGGTAGAGATATTTCCTTTCATGCTCTTAAGAGTGGTACGTGTATCATCACAGTCCAGAATACTACCCAAGCTCATGATCTTTCTCTTCTTTCACATATCGGTACTATTCCTATCACTATCGAAAAACATCATTCCCTCAATTCTTGTAGTGATACTGTCATTCTGCCCCATATCATAGTCCAACAGAATTTCCAGACATGTGGCACTGACATTCTCGAACAGCTGGAACTCCAAGATCTCCCAATTCTCAAGGTAGACACTTACGTTCCTCCTGCCCATGGGCGGAGACGATACCCTTGCAATGTGGCTCGTTTAACTTTTGACAGCCATGAACTCCCATCCTTTGTTTATGTAGCAGGACATCGGTTACAAGTTCGGAAGGTGATCCCTACACCGCAACAGTGTAGGAATTGCTGGCGTTTTGGTCACCCAGCAAAATATTGCAGATCTATAGCCGAATGCCCAGTCTGTGGTGCCGATGACCATTCTAATATGTCTTGCAGTCGAACTCCCTCTTGCCTCAATTGTCATGAGGCTCACCCTTCGTACTCTCGCCATTGCCAAGTCTACTTAAATGAGCGGGAAATTCGTTGCCTCAAACAGGCAGAAGGTCTCCCTTATGCTATGGCGGTTTCTCATCTCTGCCTCCAAGGGAGACTGCCCCGTGTTTCTTATTCTCGTGTTTCAAAGTGTCCCCCCCACTTCTGGGGTCACATCTTCTGCAGCCTCCTCTGCGGTTGCCAGTCCCATAGTCACTCCTGTATCTAATTCTTTTACTGTCCTGGGCTCAGACGTCCCTACTTCAACTCCTCAGTCTGTCCTCACTTCTTCGTGTCCCCCCTCACCAACCCTGATATCGACAAGACCTCGTACGACACCTCCTCCCAATCATCCCTCTACTTCTCAGAGGCCCAAAAAATCTCCTTTAACCCCTCCTCTTCATCCACCTCCACATTTTACCTTCCCGGTCTCTGTACCTGAGTCTTCCCCTTTCACTGGCTCTGTTACAAGTGTGGAGGTTCATCCTCCTCGTACTGTGCCTTCCTCCCCTGCCCCCTCCCACGTTTCTTCCTCTTCTGCCACCTCCCAGGTTTCTGCCTCTTCTGTCCCCTCCCACACTTCTCCAGATCCCTCCATCCTTTTGCCCCCCCCCCTACCTTGGTACAGTCCATTACAGCTCCGATCTTTATTCAAACTCCTCCTCCTTCCATCTCCAATATTGTCTCCCATACGACGTCTCTGAACTCCGAAACACTTGAAGCAATCTCTGAATATATTGCAGAGACCAAACCATCAATGGACACTGATCCACCCTCTGTTCCTTCTCTTTCCTCTTCTCCATCTGCGCAGCTCCTTTCTTCACAGCGCACCGTTCCTTCACTGCTTGAACGTTTTCCTTTGCCACCGCATGTGGACTTTTCTAACCCCTCTCATCCGTAAGTACCCTTACCTGCGGATTTCTGGTATCTATCGTTGCCAATCATGGCCTATTTACAGTGGAATATACGCGGCCTCAGGTAATCGGGGTGAGCTTCAGACGTTGCTCTCCCAATTTTCCCGTTGGTGTTTGCTTACAAGAACCAAAATTACACTCTGCTGTTATCTATCCCATCGGGCTAT